AAGTTGTAGAAGATAAGCACAATTTTAAAATAGGCAAAGTTTTCAACATAAACAAATATATATATTGAATTCCAAAAATCATAAAACAAGTTTCACCATTTCAAATAATTCTAAACATAACATTCAATCTTCTCAAAACCAAAAATATAATATTCAACAAAAGATATAAAGTATCACACTCACATACAACAAAAACCTCAAATTTTAAGATCATCCAACAAAAAAAAGGTAAATAGAAAAAACAGAGGAAAAGAAGAAAAGGTTAATAACAAGCCACCTTTCTTGCATGCACAAGCATAACAGAGAAGAGAGAACACAACGAAAGAAAGAAAAAAGGAGGACCCAACAAAGAAGAAGAAGAAGAAGAAGAAGAAGAAGAACAACAGAACCCATCGAAGAAAAGAACAAAACACAACGAAGAACTTGAAGAAGAAACCAACATCTTTTCACTTTTTGATCGATTTTTTTAATCGTTCTCCACCTAGGGGTTTTTTTTTCACTTTCTAATCCCTTTTCAACACGTTTGGTCATCTTATATTGAAAGCTTTTAATTCCCTATATGCACACAGAAATATCATTTAATCAACAGTTGAAGTAAAAAAATACATAAAACGCATGAAGCCCGCGCCTCGCAATAACGCCCTCACCTTAGCGCCTAAGCTACGCCTTGCACATGTCGTCTCGCCTCGATCTGTTCGAAGCGTAGGGCAGTACCTCATTCCGCCTTGGGCTAAGGCGTGTGCCTAAGTGCACTTTTTAAAACACTGATCGGTACAGCTCGGGTACCTTGCGGGTACTTCGAGACATCAATGTAATTTTTTTTTAAATATAGGAGTATCAGAAAAATTATATTGTGCGTATTTGAAGTAACTATAAAATATAAAATACTTCTGCAATTATCAAAGATATAAAATGTACTTTGGTTATTTTTACCATTACAAAAATACTTTAATTATTTGTTGAATTTAATTTTTTAATTGTTATATATCATATCCCACAATAATATACCAATCAATGTACATGTGATGTACAGGTGCCAGCATCCGTACCCACACACATGCTTCTTATAGCCTACATACATGCTGATACAATCTAATGGGCTAGTCCACATTTTGTTGTCAGTAATATTCAGCTCTTAACGCCTCCAGGGTTGTTTAACAACTCCGCTGGTCCCAAGTCCTGGTAAAGGAGGAGGGTTGTGTGTTAGGTAGCTGAGAGCCAACACATAAAAAAGTCGCTCGGATCCTTTATGAAAATAAATCCTACTTTGAATCAATTAAATGCTAGGTCGTTTCCCTTAAGTGACGTTGTCTCGACGCCTGAGTGTGGTAAACAATGGGCAAAAGTTTTCGCGCTTTTCTAGATGAGCGCGGATAAAGAAACTAGTCCAAGACTGTAGGTTTAAGGTAACCACATGGAATGTAAGAACTTTAACTGGCGAGACTATGGAATTGGTAGAGGTCATGATCAGGAGGAGAGTTAGTACAGCTTACGTACAAGAAACTAAGTGGACGGGTAAGAAAGCTAGGGAAATAGAGGATACCGATTTTAAATTATATTATAGTGGCAAGGATAGACATAAGAATGGGGTAGAAATAATAGTTGCCAAGGGCCTTGTAGAAAATGTAGTTGCAGTCATTAGAAAATGTGATAGAATTATGTTAGTTAAACCAATTATTAGAGAGAATATAGTAAACGTTATTAATGCATATGCCCCCTAAGTAAGATTAGATGATCAGACTAAAAGAGATTTTTTGAACCAAATGGATGAGGTATTACAAGAAATACTCGTAGAAGAAAACCTAGTTATAGGTGGAGATTTCAACGACCATGTAGGAATAGATAAACTAAGTTATGAGAGGGTGCATGATGAGTATGGCTTTGGTGATAGAAATGAAGTTGTGGAGAGTATTTTAGATTTTGCGTTGGCTTCTGACTTAGTGGTGGCCAATACTATGTATAAAAAGAGAGAAGAGCATTTGATAACCTTTAAGAGTGAGTCAATTATGAGCCAAATAGATTACTTTCTAGTAAGAAAAACAGACCGTCTAAAATGCAGCGGCTGTAAGGTGATTCTTGGAGAGAGTCTGACGTCTCAACATAGGATTTTGGTACTAGATTTATGTTTTAAAGAGCAATACCAAGTTAGGAAGAATAGTGGGCGTCATAGGACGAGATGGTGGGACCTAAAAGGAGATAAATTAGAAATATTTAAGAATAGAATAGATAAAGAAGGTAATTGGAACACGGAAGATAATGCTAACATTATGTGAAACTCAATGACCAATTATATGAGGAGAATCTCAAGGGAAGTCTTTGAAGAGTCAAAAGGAAAAAGACCCAACTTTAAGGAAACTTGGTGGCGAAGAGAGGAGATTCAAGCGGTAATAAAGACGAAAAAAGTGCTTTAAAAAGTGACAGAAGGATAGAACTAAGGCAAACCTTAAGAGCTGCAGATTAGCTAATAAGGAGGCTAAAAAAGTAGTGAGAGAGGCTAAGTTCAAAGCCTATGATGACCTATACAATAGACTAAATAGTAAGGCGGGAAAGAAGAGAATATACAAACTTGCTAGGATGAAAGAGGAAAATAAGAGATTTTAATCAAGTTAAGTGCATCAAGAGTGAGGACTCTTAAAGTGTTGGTGAAGGATGAAGAGATTAAGAAGAAGTAGAAGAACTATTATGAGAAGTTGTTAAATGAAGAACATGGAGAAAGGTCAAAAGGGGAAAATGTAGCCAGTAATAAGAAAAACCAAGACTACAAGTTCTATCGTAGGATTAGAAACTTTAAAATGAATATTGTACTTAAGAAAATGAAATCGAATAAGCCTTTAAGACCCGATGATATCCCTATTAAAGCTTGGAAATATTTAGGTAAGAAAGGAGTTACTTGGTTGACTAGGTTATTTAGCAAGATTTTGTTGACTAATGCCAAAGGAGTGAAGGAAGAATATTTTAGTATTAATCTATAAGAATAAAGAAGATGTCTAGAATTGCAACAATTATAGAGGTACCAAGCTGATGTGTCATATAATGAAAGTGTGGGAGAGAGTGATGGAACGTCAATTGCAAGATATAACATAGGTGTCAGAGAATTAATTTGAATTTATGCCTGGTAGGTGAAGAATGGAAGCAATCTATCTTTTGAGGAGAGTAATAAAAAAATATAGAAAAAAGAAGGTTTGGTGATGTCAGAGAAAACAAGGATGTCAGAGAAAAAAAGGATGACAGTTACATTGATGTGATTAGGGACATGTATGAAGGTTTGGTAACCAGTATTAGATCGCCTACTGGAGAGACAAGTAAATTTCCAATTATTATGGGGTTATACCAAGGATCAACTTTAAGTCGTTATCTTTTTGCTTTAGTTATAGATGAGTTGACGAGAACTATTCAAGATGATGCACCATGGTGCATGCTTTTTGCAAATTATATCGTGTTAATGGATGAGACTAGAGATGAAGTTAACATTAAGTTGGAGACTTTGAAAGAAGCGCTTGAATCTAAAGGATTTAGGATAAGCAGAACTAAGACAGAGTACATAAAGTGTAATTAGTAACAGTAACAATGGAAGCAGATAAGAAGTGAAAATTGAGAACCAAGAACTACCTAAGAGTGAACATTTTCGTAATTTAGGATTGATTATCACAACGGTTGAAGAGATTGGAGTGGATGTGGTTCATAGAATTAAGGCAGATGGCTTTAAGTGGAGGAGTACGTCTTGGGTACCGTACAATAAATGAATACCCACTAGACTAAAAGGAAAGTTCTATACAACGGCTATTAGACCAATGATGTTATAAATGACAGGATGTTGAGCAATTAAGAAATAACATATAGATAAATTGAGTGTTGCTAAGATGAGGATGCTAAAATTGAAGTGTAACAAGACTAGAAAAGACAAAATTAGAAATGAGTATATTTGTAAATGAATAAGAATAGTACCAATAGAAGATAAATTGAGAAAGAATAGATTAAGATGGTTTGGTCATATACAATGGAGATCAACAGAGGTAGTAGTGAACAAATGTGATACAGTAATAATAGATGGAAGTGTTAGGAAAAGGGACAGACCTAAATTGACGTGGACTAGTGTAGTAAATATGAATCTCCTTAATTTAACTAATCAAATGCCCGTTGATAGAGGCGAGTGAAGAATAAGAATTCATGTAGCCGATCCCATTTGGTGGGACTTAAAGGTTTGGTTTGATTTAATATTCAGCTCTTGCACAAATACTAGGTTGGATATCTCATGAAATTCTTATGGCTATCATCAACCCGCCAAGAAATAGGCATTAACACATGGTTAATATATATATATAGATAGATAGATATATTAAGAGTCGAGTGGAGAACAAGAATTCATATAGACGATCCCATTTGGTGGGATATTCAGCTCTTGCACAAATACTGGGTTGGATATCTCATGAAATTCTTATGCCTATCATCAATCCGCCAAGAAATTTAGGGGTTGTTTGGGGTGTCCTAAATAAGTGTACTTTTTTCTTTTTGGACTAAAAAGTTGAGGGAAAAAATATAAATGTTTGGGTTAACTTTTTTGACTTTTTATGGAAAAATGTGTAATAAAAAATTGTAAAAATTAGTTTGTAGAGGAAAATTAAGATTGAGAGTTGTACAGTCGTAATTGTTGACTTTTGGTGAATAGCGTTAACTTTTTAACTTTTTGACTTTTTTTTAAGTATCCCAAACTTTGCCTTAGGCATTAACACATGGTATAAAAAATATATAGATATAGATATATTAAAAAGCAAGCAACCCAAAAACGATACAACCATAGAGATCTAGGATCAGCTAAGTCCTCATGCAAATAAACAGGAGAAGCATGTCGCGAACAAAATTTACAGGGGAAAAAAGAAACACAGAATACGATAATATGAAAACAAAGAAACTCATATTAGATTTTAATTAAACTAAAACTCAATTGCCTTGAGAAATTACTATGAAATTATAAATAAATAAAGAAAAGCAAAGGAGTAGACCTGTAGGGTGCGAAAATGAGTGGTGGAGTTGTGGTGGAGAGAACGGGCGGAGCGAATGGCCGAATCCGTGGACTGGACGACAGTCCGTGGGAGATCCTCCGAGATGTACGAATGCCATGATGATGCCGACGATGATGATGATTTCTCTTGCTCCTGCTTCGCTGTTGCTTCTCCAGTAGTCGGAGAACCAGATGCTTCCCCCATTTTCCTCAAACTCCCCCTCTCTCTCCGATCTTCTCTTCTTCCTCGAGTACGGTACGCAATTTATTTGTTTCTTCTTTGTTATTAATTGATTAATTAATGCTAGGTAGGGTTGTTCAAAAAAGAACAGCCCATCTTCCAGAATAGGGTATCTTTCAGCTCTACCTCTAATTTACATCGTAGTTTAAATTTTAAATTTTAAATTTTAAATTTTAAAATTTATAATTTATCAATTTATAATTTATCCCTTCCTTTTCACTATAATTAATATATATATATATATATATTAACCTCTAATAAAATATGAAAACAAAAATGAGTATAAGAAAGATTTAAAATATGAAATTTATTACAAATTAAAAGTTATATACATAAAATAAATTATGTAAAATTACTTTGTGTTATATACATAAAAAAATATTATATAAATTAGTATTATATATTATGCAAATGTATGATAATTAATTAGAATATTCTTCAATTTGCCAAAACCTTCCAAATCGTAATTTGTCAATCCCCGAATCTGTCATTCGATTTGTAATTTTACTTTTAAACCGTCTGAATCACATCGTGCACACCCCTACCCACAATATAGACAATAGGATAGCATAAGCTTTCTTAACCAATTTCTCACTTACAACTTTATTTTCATACTAGCGTAAATTTTTTCTTTATTCTCGAACAAAGGGTTAAGCCAATTTTGAAAAGGAAATTGTTTGAGATCTTCAAAAAAATATTTATAAGAATATAATAGAATATGAGTCAATTTTTTATTTGTTATGGCATTTCCAATGGTGTATCAAATATTTCACTAAATTTGGTAAAAATTTGAGGAATTTCTCGATCTGATATCCAGTTCTCCAACGGTGAATTTTTGGCTGTCAGCAAAACGCTAGTCGACCGAGCGGACGATTAGCCGGAAGTCCAACCAGTCGACTGGCAACTGCAATACGAAAAATTTGTTTCCCTCCAAACCATTGGGTGTCAATGTTTCTAAATTCTCAACATCCTAAAGTCTTATTTGGATGCCTTGCATAACCATTTCAATTCCTTAGAGAGCATCTCAGAGGTAATCTGTACATTATTATCTTCAAGGGCTTGAAAAATAATGTATTTTACAACTTATAAGCCACCAAATGCATGAAGAAAGCAAGGAAGATAAATAGCATCTAACACAACTGAGGCAAAGAAATAGAACCTTTACAAACCTTGGACTTATGCTGACATTTAAATTTGCAAGAGCACCAAAATGTTAAAAGGAATTTGCAGAGATATCTTCTGGAGGGAAAAGTATCTCCTTTACAAAATTCAGACATGCCTGACAGTAGCAATATGAGTATAATGTGTTATAGAGCAGCCAGTCAAAAGCTAAAATAAAATGGAATCAACAAAATCTGTAATATAATCAAAAAAATAATTAGAGAAACATGCACTAGCAAATAGAACTTACAATGAGAGTACATAAAGAAAAGAGAATCAAAGAAAGAACCAAAACCACACTTTGGCAGAATACAACAAAACAACCGGTGAATCAGTTTCAATAGTAATTTTGAATAAAAAATTGGGTTCTAATAAAATGCCACCCATTTACCATTCAGTGAAATTTTCAACTACGAGGATGACTAGGTATATGTTCGACCGATCATCCGATAGGTCCACAACTCAATGGCTATGCACAGTAGAATGTTGAAAGGTGCCAAATATCCTCAGTTTGGTTAAACATTTTGTATATTCTTAATTTGATATATGTTTGATGAAACCATTAGAGTAGGAAAAAATGATATTTTTCACCAAATTTTAATTTGGTGATGGATTTGGTACAACGTTGGAGATTGCCTTACATATATAATGATGGTTGGCTCAACTTTCATATCACATCATTGTGGGTGAACATACGTATTTTCAAAATAAGTTTTTTTTTTTTTTTAATTTCAATATTAATTAAAATCTACTACTATTATAAAAGTGTAAAGAGTCGGCATGTTTTTATTTTTTTAAATCTCAATTTTACCCTCTCAAATATACTATTATAAAAGTGTAAAGAGTCGGCACCGTTTAAACGTTAACCCTAAATGCAAGCCGATTATTCAGAAAAGCCGGCGGTCAGCCACAGAACACACTGCTGCCATTGTTGAGGAAGTTGACCAGCTGCTTGATGTGGGGGCAATCCGGGAAGTTACCTATTCTACATGGCTGTCAAACATTGTGGTTGTCAAGAAGAAAAATGGGACTTGGCGTGTTTGTGTGGATTTCACGGACTTGAATAAAGCTTGTCCCAAGAATTTTTTTCCTCTCCCCAGAATAGACCAACTCATGGACGCCACAGCGCATCATCAACGTATGAGCTTCCTCGATGCCTATAGAGGCTACCATCAAATTGCCATGCATCCGGAAGACCAAGACAAAACTGCATTTCTCACCCTAAAAGGGACTTATTGCTATAAGGTAATGCCTTTTAGGCTGAAAAATGCAGGGGCAACTGTAGACACCCCATTTTTGACCGACCTTAAGACTCAGACGTCACCAGTTGAGCGCTCGGTGATACTGCATATTATGCTCGTTCAGAAGTTTCAGAGTCGTGGCCGTGAGCCATGCCTCCGGATTTCCGAACCCTCTTCTATGCCCTGCCTCGGTTTGCGAACCAGGCTCGGTTTTCTCTGTTTCTTTTCTTGAGGGGAGGGAGAGGTCCCGTAGACCATCTCTCAGTGGCCGTGGGCTACATTTGGTGGCCGTAGGCCATTTTGCCCATTTCGGAGTCCGATTTTCGGTTTTTCGGGACCGTTGGCCGTGTGCCTCGGTTCGGGACCGCCTAACCATCTCCGTTCGCTCTGAATTTCGGCATACTTTTTATTTACTCCCTTTTGAGGGACACTGGGGTCTCAGAAATCCACTTCGTGGCCGAATGCCACTTTCGGTGCTTGACGACTCATTTTCGGGATCCCGAACTGCGTGTTTTGGTTCCCGAACATTCGTTTTGCATCGGTTTTTGTTTTCGTTTTGCAACGGTTTTCGTTCATTTTTGGCAGGTACCTCTGTTTTATCACTGGGAAGGCCGTAGAAGGGTGGGAGGCCAGTAATTGTTGCAGCAACCAGTTATATACCCTCCGACGCCCTCCGACGCTCGTTTTTCACACTTCCGGGCTAATGTTGAATACCTTGGGGCCACTTTCTTGAACTTTGAACCACATATCTGTGATGTACACACTTGGGAGGATCCTAAAAGTTGGTGGCCGGCCAGTAATGTTGCCTGACCCTTTTGAGCCCCTCCTTTCCGGGCTAATGTTGAACAATCTGGGCCCTTTTTCTTGAACTTTGAACCGCATATCTGTGATGTACACACATGGGAGGACCCTAAAAAGTGGTGGCCGGCCATTAATTCAACTTGACCTTTTTGACCCCTAGCCGGCCAGCTAGGGGAGGTGGCCGGTCGGCCACCTGGAGCTCCAAAAATGGGCCGGCCATGTTCCTCTCAACATCCACTTTACAGCTGTATAGCTGTTTCCCCCAGAAAATATCCCAATCCGGGGGATATTTTGTGGGGGAAAACTTGCCTAATTTTCCCCCACCTTTGCCCCTCCTTTACTCCCTCTTTTTTGTCCTTATAACCAGCAGGTGATATCACATTTAGGGGTTAGAAAAAAATTGCTTCAAGCCTTGATACACTTATCTCACTCCATCTCTCTCATTTTCCTTGAAAATTCCTAAGCTACACCTCATTTTCTTCATCACCACCAAGCTCTACCACCACCACACCATTCCAGAAGAAAGGGGAGGAATTCCAGCAGCTAAGAGGCAACAAATTTGGTCCAAGAAGCAACAAAAGAATTGGTCTTCAAGGGTGAGTTGCAATTTCCCCTTTTTGGCCCATTTCTTGTATCTTTTGCAAGCCATACATGCTTATTGTTTTGAGCTCCGACCAAAACTGAAAAGGTCATTTTTTTGAGCTCATTTTCATGTCTCATTAAGGGCTCAACCCTGTTTGAGCCCTCCATCTTGCACTTGCTTCAATACCCTCTTTGTATGTCAATATTTTGCATGCTTTTTCTAGCCTACGTGTGATCTATTTTGGAGTTTCTCATGAACTGTAAGTAGGCTTATTTTGATCCCCTCTTCAACATTGAAGAAGGGATCATCTTT